AGAACAGCTGAGCTAGAGAGGAAACTGGGCGCCCCCCGTGACGGCTCAGCGAATGGGGCTTCGATTGCCCTGTGGTACCTGCCGCCACTGAGGCCATAGCAGGACCCCAAAGGGCTGGCCGGGAGCGTGCCTAGTAAAGACATCCAGGGCTACGCTAGATGGGATCATTTTGTACAGGGAACAGCAACCCTCATGCTTCAGGGCAACGAACTGCTGGGAACCGTGGCCACGGGCCGCTGCGGCCTGAGAGCGGGCCGGCCTCTTCCAGGGAGTGCAGGCAGCAGGTGCGGAGCCATGGCCGTGGGCTGCAGCGTGCGGTTAGACTCCCCCCCCGCCCGGGCTGCAGCTCTCCTTGCCCTCCTGCAGTGAAGGGACAGAGGTTTTCCGGGCCTGGTCAGGAACGGGCAGAAGGTGCCCGGCAGTGGCTTTAGAAAACCGCTCCGTTCCCCGGGGCGTGTCGCTGAGCCTGCCTTCGGCGGCGTCCTTTCCTGAGCCGCTGAAGGGATGAGGAGGCCTGCTCCTGGCTGGGGCAGCCCCCCTCCCACAAGCCAGTGTAACTCCTTTGATATGCACTGCAGCCTTCTGGCTTAATAAGTTGGCCTCCTGCAGAGGGGAAGGGCTCAGATTTTGCCAGCTCTGATTTGGTCTGATCCGACCGCTCTTTCTTTCTTACATGCTGGCTCCAGGAGCTCCTCCCGCACTGCACCTCTGGGCAGTGCCGCCTCGTGGCCAGAGCCCTGGACGGGGACTCGGGAGACCAGGGTTCTATTTCTAGCTTGCCGCTGGCCTGCCGGATGACCACGGGCAAGTCATGTCCCTGCTCCGTGCCTCAGTTTCCCCATCCGTACAATGGGGATAACAATACTGGCCTGCGTGCTGTACAAGAACTAGGCGGTGTTATTTCCTATCTGCTCTTTTCCTGGGATAGTGTCACTTGCAACCTTGCATTCAATACTGTCGTGCAGGGTCTTGGTAGGTGAAACCCCAGCACGCGCTCCTGTACCCAGGGTTGTGAGCCTTCTCTGACAAAAGGCGCAAGGGAAACTGGTAGCTGGGTCCCCGATCCATGCATATATGCTAAGAGAGAAATAGGCAGGAGCTGTGATCAGTTGACCGGACTAATTGAACATGGCTAGAAACACGGCGCTACAGAATTCCGCTCACTCATAGAATAGAATATCAGAGTTGGAAGGGACCTCAAGAGGTCATCCATCCGCAGCCCTGGGTTACTCTGCAGTGGGTGCTCTCCTCCCGAGAAAGCTTTCAGAGAAGCAAAGGGAAACTGCTGTGCTGTGCCCAAGAGCAGTACGCTGCCCGTGTACAGGAGGTCAGATGCCTCTGGCAATTCAAGCAGCTCTGCCCCCCGCCCCGCTCTGTGCCCACTCAGGGCAGGGCAGCTGGAAATGCTCAGAGTCCCAGCAAACTGACGGGCTGAACGCTTAGAAACGCAAAGCTGCCAATTACTTTCTTCCCTTCAGCAGTTTCTCCTTCCCAGGTGGAACGGCCTGCCCCCCTGCAGTGTGGCCTACTGGCTAGTTCCGGAGTGTAAGGCGAGAAGGGAGTTCACCATCTAGACTGACCTCCCATATAGCACAGGCTATTACATTGCACCCAGTCTTGAGCCCCAAGGCTGGTTAGACTAAGGCATTTCAGTCCTCGGGAGGCTAACCTGCTGTGAGCCCCAGGCAGAGACCAGGAGGGACTGAGGGGCCACCATCACCCAGCCGATTGCAGCAGACAACCTGTGCCCAATGCTGCAGAGGAAGGAGACTCCCCCACTAAGGTGATCAGATGTCCTGATTTTGGGGGTCTTTTTCTTATATAGGCTCCTATTACCCCCCCACCCCTGTCCCGATTTTTCACATTTGCTGTCTAGTCACCCTCCCCAAGGGGGAACATTCCTGCCCGACCCCAGATCTGGTGATCAGCGTAACTCAGAGCATGTGAGCAAGAACCAGCCAGCTAAGAAAGAGGATTCTCTGGTCCATGTCAGAGCACCAGCCCACCGTATTCAGTGTGCTGTCTCTGGCTGAGGTCAATTCTTGATGCTCCAGAGGAAGGTGTTGGGGTGAACCCCAGAATACATCTGGCCAA